AGGAAGGGGATAGGTCAGTCCAGGGAGGACGGACAGGTCAAGGGGGCAGGATGAGGTTGGTCGGTAGGAGATGGAGGTGCGGCTTGAGGTGGGAGGAGGGGATAGGTGGGAGGAAGAACAGGTTAGGGAGGCAGGGACGAGCTGGACTGGTTTTGGGATGCGGTAGGGGGAGGGGAGATTTTGAAACTTGTGAAATCCACATTGATACCATTGGGCTGCAGGGTTCCAAAGCGGAATATGAGTTGCTGTTCCTGCAACCTTCGGGTGGCATCGTTGTGGCACTGCAGGAGGCCCAGGATGGACATGTCGTCTGAGGAGTGGGAGGGGGAGTTGAAATGGTTCGCGACTGGGAGGTGCAGTTGTTTATTGCGAACCGAGCGTAGGTGTTCTGCAAAGCGGTCCCCGAGTCTCCGCTTGGTTTCCCCGATGTAGAGGAAGCCACACCGGGTACAGCGGATGCAGTATACCACATTAGCAGATGTGCAGGTGAACATCTGCTTGATGTGGAAAGTCTTCTTGGGGCCTGGGATGGGGGTGAGGGAGGAAGTATGGGGGCAGGTGTAGCACTTCCTGCGGTTGCAGGGAAAAGTGCCGGGTGTGGTGGAGCTGGAGGGGAGTGTGGAGCGGACAAGGGAGTCACGGAGAGAGTTGTCCCTCCGGAAAGCAGATAAGGGTGGGGAGGGAAAGATGTCTTTGGTGGTGGGGTCGGATTGCAGATGGCGGAAGTGTCGGAGGATGATGCGTTGGATCCGGAGGTTGGTGGGGTAGTACGTGAGGACGAGGGGGATTCTTTTTTGGTTCTTATTGCGTGGACGGGGTGTGAGGGATGAGGTGCGGGAGATGTGGGAGACACGGTTGAGGGCGTTCTCGACCACCAAGGAGGGGAAGTTACGGTCCTTGAAAAACGAGGACAACTGAGATGTACGGGAGTGGAATGCCTCATCCTGGGAGCAGATGCGGCGGAGGTGAAGGAATTGGGAATAGAGGATAGCATTTTTGCAGGAAGGTGGGTGGGAGGAGGAGTATTCTAGGTAGCTGTGGGAGTCGGTGGGCTTGAAATGAATATCGGTTTCTAGGTGGTTGCCCGATATGGAGACAGAGAGGTCCAGGAAGGTGAGAGAGGTGTTAGAGATGGTCCAGGTAAACTTAAGGTTGGGGTGGAAGGTGTTAGTGAAGTGTATGAACTGTTCGAGCTCCTCGTGGGAGCACGAGGCGGCGCCGATGCAGTCATCAATGTAACGGAGGAAGAGGTGGAGTTTAGGGCCGGTGTAGGTACGGAAGAGGGATTGTTCCACGTAGCCTACAAAGAGGCAGGCGTAGCTTGGGCCCATGCGGGTACCCATGGCTACCCCCTTTGTCTGTAGGAAGTGGGAGGAATTGAAAGAGAAGTTGTTGAGGGTGAGGACGAGTTCGGCTAAGCGGATGAGGGTGTCAGTGGAGGGGGACTGGTCGGGCCTGCGGGACAGGAAGAAGCGGAGGGCCTTAAGGCCATCTGCATGGGGAATGCAGGTGTAGAGGGACTGGACGTCCATGGTAAAGATGAGGTGTTGGGGACCGGGGAATTGGAAGTTCTGGAGGAGGTGGAGGGCGTGGGTGGTGTCACGGACATAGGTAGGGAGTTCCTGGACCAAGGGGGAGAAAATGGAGTCTAGATAGTTGGAGATCAGTTCGGTGGGGCAGGAGCAGGCGGAGACAATGGGTCGACCAGGGCATTCAGGTTTGTGGAAGAGACTCGGGGACCGCTTTGCAGAACACCTACGCTCGGTTCGCGATAAACAACTGCACCTCCCAGTCGCGAACCATTTCAACTCCCCCTCCCACTCCTCAGACGACATGTCCATCCTGGGCCTCCTGCAGTGCCACAACGATGCCACCCGAAGGTTGCAGGAACAGCAACTCATATTCCGCTTTGGAACCCTGCAGCCCAATGGTATCAATGTGGATTTCACAAGTTTCAAAATCTCCCCTCCCCCTACCGCATCCCAAAACCAGTCCAGCTCGTCCCTGCCTCCCTAACCTGTTCTTCCTCCCACCTATCCCCTCCTCCCACCTCAAGCCGCACCTCCATTTCCTACCGACCAACCTCATCCCGTCCCCTTGACCTCTCCGTCCTCCCTGGACTGACCTATCCCCTTCCTAACTCCCTACCTACACTCACCTTTACTGGCTCCATTCCCGCCTCTTCGACCTGTTTGTTTCCTCTCCACCTATCCTCTCCTCTATCCCTCTTCTATCCGCCTCCCACTCTCTCCCTATTTATTTCGGAACCCCCTTCCCCTCCCCCTTTTCTGATGAAGGGTCTCGGCCCGAAACGTCAGCCTCTCTGCTCCTATGATGCTGCTTGGCCTGCTGTGTTCATCCAGCCCTGCACCTTGTTGTCTCGGATTCTCCAGCATCTGCAGTTCCTCCTATCTCTCATTTATCAGAGTCTTTTTCCTAATTTATACAGAGAGGGCAAGGAGAGTGAGTGAGTGCATTACTCTCTTGGAAACCTCTCCACAACTGTATGGGTTTTCTTTTCTCAGTTAGACATCTGTCTTTACTGCAGGTTTCTTGGAGATCTCTTTTCAATTATACCACTTTGCATACAAACAGAAACTAAAAAAATCCAAAAGCTGTTTCTAAGCAATACACAACACTAAACACCTTCGACTGTCTTCTTTAGCAAAAGTAACAAATTGATCTCATCTCCCTCTGAGCATCTCTACTGCAAGTGTCGCTCGACATTTCATAAACAATAAGTGAAGCATCAGACAATTCCAAGGTGTGAGAACCAAGGTTTTTGATAACCTCTCTGTCCATCACCCCCACTCAACCCCTGCCCTTGTCAAATCTCCTAGTTTTCCAAAAAAAAGGTGATTCTAACAAGTCTATTTCAAACTCTTACCTTCATATCCAAGCAAAGCATATTGTATTTTGTTGTGAGATGTAATATACATTTGTGAGATTTTTCTCTGTCACACTTGGATTCCTTCAGGGAGTGTCGTGGAATACCATACGTTACATGCTCGGAGAGGTTCAGTATGGAGGCCGAGTCACAGACGATTATGACAAACGCCTCCTCAACTGTTTTTGCAAGGTAATCCCATTCTTCTACAAGGAAATGTCTTTACAAAGTGTAAGTGGATGTTTTTGGGGCATGTGGAGATTTTATGATAGAGTTTATACTTTGGATGCAATTGAAAATATAGAACAACCTTCTCTCCAAGTTGTAGCTCCTTTAAGAAACGACTTACTTTCTCATCTTCCTCCACAATCTCATTTGTATAATGCTGAACATAAGCTGTGCCTTGTGTACAATTGTGTATAATGCTGAACATAAGCTATCCATTAAAATATTTCCTTAAAAAAAAGACTCAATTTATTTAACTTTATAGAGTTTGCTTGCATAGCTGAAAATGGTTCAACATGAAAATGCTTTTGCTTTTAATGACAATGTCAATCACTGTCTGGGACTAAACTCATTTGAAATTTCAAATAAGCACTTTAAAATAAACAATTTGTCTGTTATTTTGGAGTACAACACTCAGTATTTTCTTAAAGTATTTACAACATACCTCCATGTCCTTGCATGTATGTAAGACTCAACTTGATTTTTACATTTTCCTTGAAGTGTTTAATTCAACCTGGGATAAGGGGCTAGTGACCAACTTTAAGCCAAATGACTTTTAAACTAGTGCAAAAGTTCAAAGTTTGCTAAACATGGTTGGTGCTTAAAATCTTTTGCACCTATTTGCAATGAAAAAGAATGAGAACAACTAAATTAAAAATCAACCCTGTTTTGGAGCCTGTATTGGTGCAAGTTAGAAAGCTGTCTGATAGGAGAATGTAACAGTATTGAGCATTTAACACCCTCCATGGCAGGTGGGACAAGACCCTCCAGTTTGATTAATATTATAACTTTCATTATTTCTGTTGTATGTGCTGGATTAATGCGTCTCATTAAACTGAATGAGTTTTTTGAGAAAGGAATCAAAAGCTTGATGAGGCGGAGTGGGAGATGTTGTTTACTTGGACCAGCCTTTGTAAAGGTTTCACATGTTAGACTAATTAGTAAAGTCAGATCACATGGGATTCAGGGTGATCTTGCCAATTGGACATAAAATTGGCTTTATGGTAGGTGACAGAGGGTGATGGTAGAGGGTTGTTATTTGGACTGGAAGCCTGTTACCAGTGGTGTTCCACAGGGATCAGTACTGGGTCCACTTTTGTTTGTTATTTACATAAATGATATGGATGAGAATATAGGAGGCAATGGTTAGTAAATTTGCAGATGACACCAAAATTGGTTGGACAGTGGACAGTGAAGACGGTTATCTAAGATTACAAAGACATGTTGGTCAATCGGGCACAAAGGATGAGGAGTGGCAAATGGAGTATAATTTGGATGAATACAAGATATTGCATTTTGGTAAAACAAATAAGCGCAGGACTTTTACAATTAATGGTAAGGCTCTGGGTAGGGTTGTAAAACAGACAGAGTTAGAGGTTCAGATACATAATTCTTTGAAATTTGCATCATAGGTATACAGGATGGTTAAGAAGGTGTTTAACATGCTTGTCTTCTTTACCCTGATCTTTGAGTGTAGGAGTTGGGATGTCATGTTGCACAGGACGTTTGTAAGGCCTCTTCTGGAGTACTGTGTGCAGTTCTGCTTACCCTGTTGTATGAAGGATATTATTAAACTGGAGAGTGTTCAGAAAAGATTTACCAGGATATTGCCGGGAATGGATAGTTTGAGTTATAAGAAGATAGGCTGGGACTTTTCTCACTGAAGCGTAGGAGGTTCAGGGGTGAACTTACAGAAGTTTATAAAATCATGAGGGCCATAGATAAGGCATAGATAAGTAAAAGTCTTTTCCCAAAGATGGAGATGTTCAAAAGTAGGGGCCATATTTTTAAGGTCAGATGAGAGACAGATTTAAAAATGACATGGGCAAATGTTTTACACAAAAAGTGGTTAGTGTGTGGAATGAACTGCCAGAGGAAGTGGTGGATGCAGGTACAGTTGCAAGGTTTAAAAGACATTTGGATCAGTATATGAATAGGAGTGTTTTGGAAAGATATGGGCCAAAGGCAGACAGGTGGGACTAGTTTAGTTTGGGAACATGGGTGGCATGGACTAGTTGGACCGAAGGGTCTGTTTCTGTGCTGTACAGCTGTATGACTCCATTGGCTCGAATGCAACAGTTGTGTTTGCAGCTCTGAGCCAGAAGGTTATATTCAAGTCTCACCTACTTCAGAGATTTGGATAACATATGTGAGCTGGTTAATTTTCTTCTTTGGCGGGATGGAAGGAGACTGTAACTCAATTCAAGAAGTAGAAAAGTTTCCCCATCAACACAGTACATTTGTCACACCTAGGAAATAGTGCAGAAAAATGGATTAATGAAGACGCTCTGAAGTTGGACAGATAATGTTCCTCAAACCAAATAGCAGAATGTTATCTTACTCAGATTGTAAATACAGATTTCTTTCATAACCTTTGCTCCTTCTTTAAAAAAGAAAGTTTGGAGATAGGAAAATTACTGTCCTTGGCCAACTCTTTAAAGTCTGTTGAATTATTCTGTTTTGTTTTTCTTGTATCTCTGAATTCTTCTCATCTATGTTAATATTAACCCTTTTTCAAATAACTTTGTTGATTTTTTATAACATGAATTGAACTACATTCAGTATAATAGCTATAACTTAGTCTAAAAGAATATTTTTTTGTGTAAAAACATACAATGTGATTTTGTTTTTGCACACTTGCTATATAGGTGTGGTTCAATGAGAAGATGTTTGATTCCAAGTTCAGTTTCTACACTGATTATATTATCCCAATCTGTGCCAGTGTGGAGTCCTATTTAGAGTATATTCAGACATTACCTGCCGTTGACACCCCTCAAGTGTTTGGACTACACCCAAATGCTGACATCACGTAAGTAAGATCAGAATTAACTCCCACCTAATACCTGAGGACACGGTAAAGATCACCTATTTTTGTTCTCTATTCCCTGGAATAATCGGACTACATCCCTTAGTGAACAACAGAGATGTAGAGTCGAAACTTGTGGTGACACATGAAGTCCTGCTACTGGGATTGAAGCCTGTCAAACAATTGACAGGCTAATGTTGGAGTGGCCCATTCTTTCTGTTTTCCACATTAATCAGAGTGCTGCCAGCTTAGCAGCCACACACTGAGACTGTTCCACTATGAAATAACTCCACAGAGGTCTGTATTCCATCACCAAGTCACCCTTTATTTACACATGGAGAGCCTTGACACTGATCCAGCTCTCAGGGTGAACAGGATGTCTGACACCCCTGTTTATATCTGACAGCCAGGGTTCCCTGATTGGGGCTGTTAATCTGGTCCAATCAGGGAAATCATATTCTATGAGATCCACCTGGCTGACCTCGTTACAATCACACCATCCCTCCCTGTCTGAGTCCAAGGACATAGACCAGGTGGGTTTTTTGCAGCTCCTCCTGGGGCATTTTTGCACCAGGTCATGTTCCTCCAACTCTGCCTCTGATATGGGCACTGTCTAATGCACAGACGGCTGGAGCATCTCGCAAGAAATTAATTCTCTTCTTCAGGCAGCAAAGGCATCTAGATGGAAACATCTGCCGTGTCAATCTCAGATTCCAAGGAATCGTCAATTCTTAATGGAGAGGGCGAACCCACTGGTTCCAGAACAGTCATAAAGGTATTCAAGGAGCCGGGCACATTTTGCTCCCGCACCGTTTGTGAGTTTGCAGCTTTCATATGGTTCATGTGCTTGTTCAGGACTGTCATGCCCACCTGAACTTCATAAGTCACTGGACCTGACCTCGTGTCAACAATGTTTCTTACATGTGCAGGGCCATATCCATGGTTCCAACACCAAACGTCGTCCCCTGCAGTGAACTATCTCTCTCGCTTAGCAGGGTCTTCAGTCTGGCATTGGTATTGCTGATTCTGTTTCAGCCTCCTTCCCCTCTATCTGGGAAGATCAGATTTACCTGATATGGAGTCTTCTCCCCATTAGCCACTCTGCTGGAGCTATCCCTATAGTTGCATGAGGGGTGGTCCTATAACCAAATGGGAATGGGGAAAGTTTGGTATCAAGTGAAGTTGTAGACTGTTTCTTTAAGCCTGCCTTCAACGTTTGAACTGCTCTTTCCCCCAAACCTTATGTATCGAATCTCATTTGACTTTAGGAAATACTCAAATTCCCAGCTGGTAAACAATAGCCTGTTGTCTGCCCAACACTTCTGGGAACCTGTGTATTGCAAAAGATGTGCACAGTATTTCTATTGTCATCCCATGTTTGATGAATGAACTCTCCACATGTTCAGCCATTTTGAGTGGGCATCCACAATGACTAAGAACATTGAGCCCATGAAAGGACCTGCATAGTCAACATGTAAATGAGTCCAGGGTTTACCCGGACATTCTGTTGGCAATAGTTTTTGACCTTGTTGGCACTCTGAGCACTGCTCTACCAACACAGCCATGTTTGCATCCTGTCCCGGCCACCAGACATAACATCTCACCAGCATATTCATTTTGGAAACCGCTGAATGACACTGGTGGAGTTTAGCCAGTATATGGCAGCAACCTTTGCTCGGGACAATCACTCTCGGTCCCCATAATAATATGCCATCCTCTATTGTCATCTGGTCTCTCCTGGTCCAGAATGGTTTCAATTCTGGTTGTGACGGCCCTTTGGTTCCCCCATCACCACCAGCTGTTTCAGTTTTGACAGGACCAGATCTTTCTGCATCCAAAGCCTAATATTGTCAGCTGTGACTGGAAGTGTGTCCAGAAAATTTAAAACCATTCCAGACCCTTCCAGTGGGAGACAGCTTAATGCATCCACATTTGCTACTCGCTAAATTTGACCTGAAGCTACGGGCGGCACTCCTTGTCCTCTTTAAGAGGATCTAGGAAGAGTTAATCATAGAATCTTCACAGTGTGAAAGCAGGCCATTCAATCCACACTGACCATCCGAAGAGCATCCTACCTAAATCCACCTCCCTACCTTAACCATGTAACCTCACATTTCCAATGACTAGCCAACTTTCCCTGGAACTGTTAGCAATTTAGCATGGCCAATTCATCTAACCTGTACATCTTTGAACTGTGGGTGGAAACCAGAGCACCCGGGCGAAACCCATGCAAACACAGGGAGAACATGCAAACTTCACTTAAACAGTCACCTGAGGTTAAATTCAACCTGGGTCCCTCATACTGTGAGGCAGCAGTGCTAACCATTGAGCCACTGCACCTGGTATTCCTAGGTGGTCTCCTATCCAACTACTAACCAGGCCTGAGTCTGCTTAGCTTACAAAATCAGGCAACATCAGGTGTTTTCAGACTACCAAGGCTGTAGGCAATATAGTCCTTTATTATTACAAATTTACATCCATAAAGGTATTGATAGAACTTCCTGACTCCAAATATGATAGCCAAACCTTCCTTCATATTTATGCTATGGATTGGCCAAAGTCCTGGATGCATATGCTATTAGGTGTTCCGGTTCATTGGGATACCCATGAGCTGATACTATCCTGATGCCTTATGGGGTGGCCATCACATGTCAATATCAGATCTCGCTTGGGATCATAGTGTGCCAGCACCTTAAAGAATGATAGCTTTTCCTTCACTTCCCTGAAGGCTGTGGCTTGACAATACAACCATTTCCAGGGTTAGAGATAACAAGGTGTAGAGCTGGATGAACACAGCAGGCCAAGCAGCATCAGAGGAGCAGCCTGCTGTGTTCATCCAGCTCTACACCTTGTTATCTCAGATTCTCCAGCATCTGCAGTTCCTACTATCTCTGAAATCATTTCCAGGATTAATTTTTTTTAAGGGTTGATGCAAAGTTGCCATGATGGAGGCCAGGTCACGTATGAACTTTCTGTAATAATTTACCAGCCCAAGAAAAGATCTGAGCTCCGGCACTGATATAGGAGTTGGGGCACCTTTGATTGCCCGCACTTTATCTTTCAACGGTATAATCCCACTCTCGTCACCACTGAAATAACTTCACAGAGGCCGGCCTCCCATCACCAAGTCACCCTTGATTTACACATGGAGAATCCTTGATACTGAGCCAGCTCCCTCAGAGCCAACTCTCAGAGTGAACAGGATGTCTGATACAACACAGTGTGGAGCTGGAGGAACACAGCAGGTCAGGCAGCATCAGAGAAGCAGGAAAGTTAATGTTTCAGGTTGAGATCCTTCTTCAGCTTGATTTACACGTGATTATTTTCTGAAGTTCTTTTTGCCCATCTCTGCTTTCTGTCTAAAGTTGTTGACTTCTTTCTGATGTTCAGTTCAATGGATGCAAGTTGTCCACTGATATCCTCTCCACATTTTCAGATGAGCCTAATCAGTGATGCTCTGTTAAAAGCCAGGAACCTGAAATGTTAATTTTGTTTCTCTTTACAATATTTCCAGCATTCCTGTTTTTATTTGACAGTTCCAAAATTCACAGTATTTCATTTTACATCAAACTTGTGAATTTCTTATCTGATTTATTTACTCACTGACTTATCCAATTAAACCATCAGAGCAACCCACAAGAGAATAAAGGTAGTTTAGCCACATTTGCAGTAATCTAGAAAGCCTAAAGCTTCCAGGTTGCTATGTGATAATGGATTCCTTAGTCTTAAAACAAGATCTGCATGTATTTTTATCTTTCTCTTCAGGTACCAGAGTAATACTGCGGCTGAAATTCTCAACACCATCACCAATATTCAGCCAAAAGAAAGTGCTGGAGGAGCAGGAGAGACTCGAGAAGCCACTGTCTTTAAACTGGCTGACAGTATGCTGCTAAAGCTACCCCCTGATTACTTGGCACATGAGGTACTTTAATTTACTAGGTTAGTAGGCATCACAAGGGACGCTGAGCTCCATCCATATTTGGCCTCTCAAAGCCAATGTCTTTGGTATTGCGAGGTAAGTGCTGTGTCATGTCTCACAGACAATATGTCAGAAATCCTTCATTACATCATCACACTATATGACTTGAGGATAAAAAGATCTGACTCCATCATGCTCCTATCAGGTCACTTGAAGCATGACATGCTGCAAGAATCATGTTGTTCTATATAACTTATTGATTAATGTAAGAACCAGACACTGATCTACCTGTAAATGTAATATATCTGTATAATGCTACTTATAACAGATATCTGTTGAATCTTTCAATATTACAACATCAGTGCCCAGTTTCTTTCACTACAAGGAATAACGTAAGCAAAGCTACATAGTGGTTCATGAAGACATACCTGGCAACTGAAAACTGGACTTCTATGAGACACTGTGTACCATCAGCAGCAGCAGATTGTATTCAATCACAATCTATAAACTCATGACCTGGACTATATCCCATTCTACCATGGCCATCAGGCCAGGAAATCAAGTTGTCCTCCAAGTGACTCACCATCCTGACTTAGAAATATATTACCATTCCTTCACTGTCACTGAGTCAAAATCCTGGAGATCCCCCCATAATGCCATTGCTGGTCAACCTACATCACATGGACTGCAGCAGTTTAAGAAGGCAGCTCCCCACTACCTTCTCGTTGGCAGCTAGGGATGGCAATAAATCCTGATGCAGCCAGGGATGCCCACATCCCACGAGTGAATTTAAAAAACCCTGGTGAAGCTACAAAACAAGACTAGTTGCAGAGAAACAGAGAAAATAGTTGCAGGAGTAGGCCATTCAACTCTTCAAGCCTGCACCACCATTCAGTATGACCGTGCAATTTCAGTATCCCATTCCCACTTTCTCTCCATACCCCTTGATCCCTTTATCCGCAAGGGCCACGCCCAGCTCCCTTTTGAATATATCTAATAAACATGGCCCAACAGCTTCCTGTGAGAGAGAATTCTGCAATTCCACAAATCTCTGAGTGAAGAAATTCTTCCTCATCTCAGTCCTGAATGGCTTACCCCTTATTCTTAGGCTTTGATCCCTAGTTCTGGACTTCCCCAACATTGGGAACATTTTTCCCACATCTATCCGGTCCAGTCATGGTTGTATGTGTTTCTATGAGATCCCCCTCATTCTTCTTAATTCCAGTGAGTACAAGCCCAGTTGACCCAGTCTTTCCTCATATGTCAGTCCTGCCATCTGGGAATCAGTCTGGTGAACCTTCACTGGACTCCTTCATTAGCAAGAATGTCCTTCCTCAGACTAGGAGACCAAACTGCACACAATACTCAAGGTATGGCCTCACCAAGGCTCTGTATAACTGCAGCAAGACATCCTTACTCTGATACTCAAATCCTCTCGCTATGAAGGCCAGTACGCCACTGGCTTTCCTCACCGCCTACTGCACCTGCATGTCAACCTTCAGCAACTATTACACCATGACACCCAGGTCTCATTGCACCTCACCTTTTCCTAAACTGCCACCATTCAGATAATAATCTGCCTTCACATTTTTGCAACCAACATGGATAACCTCACATTTATCCACATTATTTTGCATTTGCCAGATATTTGCCCACTCAGCCAGCCTGTCCTAGTCATCCTGCAATCTTTTAGCAGCACACAGCACACACTGCCACCCAGCTTAGTGTTATGTGAAAATTTATAGATATTGCGTTCAATTCCTTTGTTCAAATCGTTAATGTATATTGTGAACAGCTAGGGTCCTAGCACTGAACCCTGCAATACCCCAATTGTTACAGAGATAGCAGGAACTGAAGATGCCGGAGAATCTGAGATAACAAGGTGTACAGCTGGATGAACACAGCAGGACAGGCAGCATCAGAGGAGCAGGAAAGCTGACGTTTCGGGTCGAGACCCTTCTTCAGAAGAAGCGTCTTGACCCGAAACGTCAGCTTTCCTGTTCCTCTGATGCTGCTTGACCTGCTGCGTTCATCCAGCTCTACACCTTGTTATCTCAAATACCCCATTTGTCACTGCCTGCCACTCTGAAAAGGAGCTATGTCAACCAGCTAGAACCAGCATAATGACGAAGCTGCAGTATTCACAGCCATCTTCATGCAGACCTCTTCCAGGGGCCACTGCAATAACAAATGCTTGTCTTCAGCTAGTTTTAATCATTTCCATGTCAATATCAACAAAGACCTGAAGACACTGAAAACTGCAAAGGCTATGGGCTCTGACAATATTCAGGCAATAATGCTGAAGATTTATGCTATAGAATGTGCTGTACCCCAAGCCAAGCAGTTCCAGCAGAGTTGTTCCCATACTAGCATTTATCTGACAGTGTGAAAAATTGCCCAGTTACATCCTGTGCAAGAAAGGCAGAGCAAATTCACCCCAGCGAACTACTGGCCTCCAGTCTACCCTCGATCATCAACTATGTGATGGAAAAGGCTGTTGACAGTGCTATCAAGCAGCACTTACAAATAAGTAATGTACTCATTTATGCACAATTTGGGTCCTGCAAGAGTCACTTGGCTCCTAACCTCGTTAGATTCTTAATCCAAACATGGATAAAAGGGCTGCATTCCAGAGGTGAGAAGACAGCCCTTGACACTAAGACTCAGCATTTGATTGAACATGTCAACAAACAGCCAAAGCAAAAATTGAGCCACTAAGAATCAGGGGAAAAATACTTTGCCAGTTAGAGTCATACATGGTACAGAGGCATATGGTTGTCATAATAAAAACAAAGTACTGTGAATACCGGAGATTGGAAATAAAAATAGAAAGTGCTAGAGAAACTCAAAAGGCATGGCAGCATCTGTGGAGAGAGACCAATAGTGTTTCGAGTCCAATATGACTGGTTGTTGCTATTTTTACGAGCTGAGTATCTCAGAATGCCTGTGCAGGAGTTTCTCAAGGTAATGTCCTTGGTTCAAATACTTGAGATACTGCTTCAATGACCATAAGGTCAGAGGTGAGGATGTTACTAATAATTGCCCAACATTCAGCCCATTCACGCCTCCTCAGACACTGAAGCATATCCGTATGAAGCAGGGTTCAGGTTTGGGCTGATATGTGAAAACTAATGCACACACCACATGTGTACCAGGCACTGACTATCTCAAACAAGAGTGAATCTAGCAGCCAGTTCCTGATGTTCAATGTCATTGTCATCATTGAACCCCTCATTATCAACATTGTGATGCTACCACTGACTTGAACTGAACTAGCCACATATATGCTGCGGCTACAAGAGCAGTCAAAGACTCAGAATTCCATAGCGAGTAACTCACTACCTATCTCTCCAAAGCTTGTTCATCATCTACAAGGCACAGGTCAGGAATGTAATGGAATACGGTCCACATACTTGGATGAATGCAGCTGCAACAATATTCAAGAATTGAGACACTATTCAGGAGGAAGAAGCCTAACTGATTGGCACCTAATCCATCATCTTCAACCCTCACTCCTTTCATCCACAACGCATAGTAGCAGTCATGTCTGCCATCGACTAGTTGCACCACATTAATTCACTGAGGTTCCTTCCAAAATAACCTTTCAAATTCACAACCTCCACCATTTAGAAGGACAAGAGCAGCAGGTGCATAGCCCCCACACTAATACCTGCAAGTTCCCCTATAAAACATAGACCATTCTGACTTTGAATTATATCACTACTCCTTCACTGTTTCTAACTAAAAATCCTGGAACTCCCTTCCTAACAATTCTATGAGTGCTACAATGCACGAAGGACTGCAACACTTCAAGAAGGCAGTTCACGACCACCTTCTCCAATGGAATTAAGAATGAGGAAAACGTTATGGCCAAGCTAGCAATGCCTCTATTCCATGAACGAGTATAAAAGTTCTTAAGGGATCGTCTTTAAGATGCTTGCTTTGTATCAATAAATAAACTGTCCTCAAGTATTGAGAAAAGACATTTCCTTGAAGCATTTTACATGGTACTCACCAAGATATTCACAAGAATACCAGTGTAAAGGGGAACAACTTTTTGTACTTTATGAGAAGAGTTTGTTTTGTAAGTTTTCCTTTGATTGAACCAAGAACAAAGAAAATTACAGTACAGGAACAGGCCCTTCGGCCCTCCAAGCCTGCACCGACATGCTGCCCCTCACAACTAAAACCCCCTACCCTTCTGAGGACCTTATCCCTCTATTCCCATCCTATTCATGTATTTGTCAAGACGCCCTTTAAAAGTCACTGTAGTATCTGCTTCCACTACCTCCCCGGCAGCGAGTTCCAGGCACCTATCACCCTCTGTGTAAAAAACGTGCTTCGTATATCAGCCTTAAACCTATGAATCCTGGGAACTGACTCTTCCACCCTGGGAAAAAACTTCTGACTGTCCAGTCTGTCCATGCCCTTCACAATCTTGTAGACCTCTATCAGGTCGCCCTCATTCTCCGTCATTCCAGTGAGAACAAATCAAGTTTCTCCAACCTCTCCTCATAGCTAATGCCCTCCATACCAGGCAACATCCTGGTAAATCTTTTTGTACCCTCTCTAAAACCATCACATCCTTCTGGTAGTGTGGCAGCCAGAATTGAACACAATATTCCAAATGCGGCCTAACCAAGGTTCTATAAAGCTACAACATTACCCTCCAATTTTTAAACTCAGTGCCCCAGCCGATGAAGGCAAACATGCCATTTGCCTTGTTAACTACCTTTTCCACCTGCGTTTCCACTTTCAGTGACCTGTGTACCTGTACACCCAGATCCCTCTGCCTATCAGTACTCGTAAGGGTTCTGCCATTTACTGTATATTTTCCATTTGGATTAGACCTTCCAAAATGCATTACCTCACATTTTTTCTGGATTAAACTCCATCTGCCATCTCTCTGCCCAAGTCACCAACCGAGCTATATCCTGCTGTATCCTCTGATGGTCCTCATCGCTATCTGCAATTCCACCAACCTTTGTGTCATCAGCAAACTTACTAATCAGACCAGTTACATTTTCCTCCAAATCATTCATATATATTACAAACAGCAAAGGTCTCAACACTGATCCCTGAGGAACGCCACTAGTCATAGCCCTCCATTCAGAAACGCATCCTTCCACTCCTACCCTCTGTTCTCAATGACTGAGCCAGTTTTTTATCCATCTTGCAAGCTCACCTCTGAACCCATGCGACTTTACCTTCTGTATCAGTCTGCCATGAGGGACCTTGTCAAAGACCTTACTGAAATCCGTGTAGACAACATCCACTACCCTATCCTCATCGATCATCTTCGTCACTTCCTCAAAAAACTCAACCAAGTTAGTGAGACACGACCTCCCCTTCACGAAACCACGTTGCCTCTCGCTAACACGCCCAGTTATTTCCAAGTGGGAGTAAATCCTGTCTCAAAGAATCCTCTCCAATAATTTCCCTACCACTGAAGTAAGGCTCACTGGCCTGTAATTAGCTGGATTATCCCTGCCATCCTTCTTAAACAAAGGAACAACGTTGGCCATTCTCCAATCCTCTGGGACCTCCCCTGTGGCCAATGAGGATACAAAGATTTCTCTCAATGCCCCAGCAATTTCCTCCCTTGCCTCCCTCAGTATTCTGGGGTATATCCCATCAGGCCCTGAGGACTTGTCTACCTTAATGTTTTTCAAGACCCCCAATACCTCCTCCCTTTGGATCTCAACATGACCCAAACTATCTACACACCCTTCCCCCAACTCATCATCCACCATGTCCTTCTCTATGGTGAATACTGACGCAAAGTACTCATTTAATGCCTCGCCCATTTCTCCTGGATCCACACACAAATTCCCTTCCCTGTCCTTGAGTGGGCCAACTCTCTCCCTGGCTACCCTCTTGCTCTTTATATATGTGTAAAAAGCCTTGGGATTTTCCTTAATCCAGTTGGCGAATGACTTCTCATGACTCCTTTTAGCCCTCCTGACTCCTTGTTTAAGTTTCTTTCAACTTTCCTTGTATTCTACCCGTACTTCATGTGTTCCCAACTTCCTAGCCTTGACAAATGCTTCCTTTTTCTTTTTGACTAGGCTCACAATGTCTCTCGTTATCCAAGGTTCCCTAAACTTGCCATACTTATCCTTCATCCCTGCAGGAACGTGCCGGCCCTGTGTTACCGTCAACTTACACTTGAAAGCCTCCCACATGCCAGATGTTGAATTGCCCTCAAACATCTGTGTCCAATCTACATTCTTCAGTTCCTGCCTAATATTATTGTAATTAGCCTTCCCCCAATTTAGCGCCTTCGCTTGACAGCTACACTTATCCATCAGTACCTTAAAGCTTACTGAATTGTGATCACTGTTCCCAAACTGCTCCCCTAATGAGTATACTGTTGTTATGTTGAGTATAACCTATATTTGATTGTCAGCTAGTAGCTAAATGAAGGATAGAGTGGGGAAGAGTTGTGACTAGAGCAGTATGTGAAGCTTGTCATTCTTCCATAAAGATATAGAATGTGAATATGCATTGTCTAACCTTAACCACTTGGATGAGTACAGTGAACCTTTCCGCATTCAGATTCTTGATGTTATTCTGATGGCATTGACTGTGACAGCAATCTGCTCACAATGGCTTTGTAACATCTATTTGGAAGGCAATCTTACCCTTGAGGGAGGAACTTCTTCTCTTCCATTTGACCTGGATGATCATCAAGAGTTTCCAGTTGAACCCTTTCACACTGAACTTTTGCTCAGACTTCCTATTGACTAACTGTTAGGTGGGGAACTAAAGACAAATATACCGAAACCTGCAACTAAATTATTCAGGTCCTCCACATTCTGGTATCCATGCATTTCCAGACAATTGACTTATTCCCTGCACTCTTCCCATAAATTCTAAAATTTGGGACCAGTTTATCCAAGGGATGTTTAGTGTATCGTTCAACTTTACTTTGAAACTGCTGTTGGTTTTTAGCTGCTGTGACAAGAACATTTACAAAGACCGTTTAGAAAGATAGTCTTGGTCATAATTTTTTTTTTAAGTAATAAGAACCCGTTTGTTTTGACAGGTGAAAGCTCGCCTCATAAAGATGGGAATTTTGAATTCCATGAATATTTTTCTGCGCCAAGAAATTGATCGAATGCAGAGGGTTATTACAATGCTCCGGAACTGTCTGAACGACTTAAAGTTGGCTATAGAAGGGACCATCATCATGAGCGAGGTGCAGATGCAGCTCACAATTCATTGCAGGCCCAGTCCAACCATTTGTAAATGTGGCTATGTTAAAGAAAGTTGTTTCCTTAAGACAAGAAGAAATAGGAACAGGAGTAGACTGTTCAACTATCCCCCTGTCTGAGCCTGCTGTGCCATCCAATAGGAACATTGCTGATCTGACACACTTTACATCCACGTTCCTGCCATTTCCCCATAAGCCTCGATTCCCCTAGTGGTCAAAAACCTATCTATTTAGACCTTATATATAAGGACTCTGCCCCCACAATTTTCTGGAGCAGGAATTCAAAATACTCACAACTTTTAGAGAAAAGAAATTCTTCCTCATGTCAGTCTTAAATTGATGCCCCTTTATTCTGAGTTTATGTCTTCTTTCCCTATACTTTCATTTACCCTGATAAGACTCTTAAGAATTCTATATGTTTCAATGAGATCACCTCTCCTTCTTCTAAATTCCAATAATAACAGTCCAAACCTATTTAACCTTTGCTCATAAGCCAATTCCTCCATAGCAGAGATCATCCCAGTGGACCTTCTCTGAATTGCTTCCAGAGAAACAATTTTGTTTCTCAAACAGAGAAACCAAAACTGCTCACAGTATTCCAGATGCGGTTTCACCAACACCTTATACAGTTGCAGTAAGATTTCCCTACTTCCCTCCTTGAAATAAGGGCCAACATTCAATTAATGTTCCTGATTACCTGCTGCAACTGTATGTGAGCTTCCTGTGTTTCATGTACAAGTATTCTGAAGTTCCTTTGTATTGCAGCTTTTATCTATTTAAATTATATTCTGCTCTTTTGCCCACACTTCCAAAATGAACATTTTTCCACATTTTACTCCATTTGCTGAATTTTTGCCTCCTTACTTAACCTGTCAATATCTCTCTGTAAGCTGTTTCTATCCCTCTTGCAATCTGTCTCTCCATCTACTTTTGTGTCATCTGGAAATTTGGCCACAGTTCATTTACTTCCTTCCTCCAAATCATTAATATATATTATAAGCAATTGCAGTCCCATCACTGATCACTGAGGAAACCCACTGGTCACAGGTCGCCAACCTGAAAAAGAACCCTTATCCCTACTTGCTAGTTCCTGCCAATGAGGCAATTCTCAATAAACCACCTCCAACACCATGGGCTTTTAATTTGTGTATTAACATTTTGTGAAGTATATTGTTAAAAGTCTTCTGGAAGTCTAAATACAACACATTTACTGGTTTCCCCTCTATTCACTCTGGCTGAGACTTCCTCAAAAAACTCAAATTGGTCAGACACAATTTTCCTTTCATAAAGCCATGGCGACTCTGCTTGATTAGATTATGATTTTCCAAATGTTCTGCCATTACTTCCTTAATAATTGATTCAACACTTTTCTAAGAATAAATGTTTAGCTAATTGGCCTATAGTTATCCACCTTTTGCCTCCATCCCTTTTTGAATAGGGGAATCACATAAGCAGTTTTCCAATACTCCAGTATTTCTCCAGAATCCAAGGATTATTGGAAAATTACAACCAATGCATCCACTATCTCTGTGCCAACTTCTTTTAGGATCCTATGTTGCAAGCCATTAGGGCTAGGGGACTTATTCGCCTTTGACCCCATTAAGTTGTCTAATGCTACTTCTCTAGTGATGGTGAGGGCACTTAATTCCTCCCCAGTATTTAGTATTAATGGAATGTTCAAAGTAGGTTCGACCATTAAGACTGATACAAAACATCTGTTTTGTACCTCTACCATTTCCTTCTTCCCAATACCCATCTCCCCCAAGGTCATTTTCTAAGGGGCCTATGTTCGCTTTGACCTCTCTCTTTCTTTTTATGTATTTAAAGAAGCTCTTGCTTTCATTTTTTATATTCCTCAATAGTTTGCCCTTGTAATTTATTTTCTCATTCTTTATCATCTCTTTAGTTCTCCTTTGCTGGATTCTGAATTATCCCAGTCTTCAGAGTTATCACTGACCTTTGCCTCCTTATATATTTTTTCTTTCAAACTTAATATTCTTCTTAATTCTGTGGTATAGCCATAGTTGGTTTATTCCTCTCTCGGGATCTTTTGTCCTTACTGGGATGTATTTTTGCTCAGAGCTATGAATTACCTCCTATGATGTCAGGCATTGCTTACTTACTGTCATTCTTGCTAATCTAGCTGCTTAGTACACGTTAGCTAACTCTATCCTCATTTCAGTGTAATTCCTTTTCTGAAGTTAAGCACAGTTGTTTCCAACCCAGGGTTCTCATTCTTGAATTTAATATTAAGTTGTATCATGTTGTGATCTCTACTTTGTAGGGGATCTTTTAATCCGAGGTCATTTATTAAACTTTCCACATTACCCATTACCAGATCCAAGACAACCTGCTCCCTGGTTAGCTCTGGGAAACTACCCTGAATGGTCTCTGTGAATTTGTTGTCATAGCTACCTTTTCCAATTTGATTAATCAAATCAACATTAAGATTAAAGTCACTGATAATTTTTGCTCTATTCTTTTTATATGCTCCTATTATTTGTTGATGTATCACCGTTCCTATGGAATGACTACTGTCTGGGGGTCTGTACACGACTACTACCAGTGTCTTCAACTCCCCCTCCCACTCCCTGGACGACATGTCCATCCTGGGCCTCCTCCAATGTCATAACGATGCCACCCGAAAACTGGAGGAACAGCATCTCATATTCTGCCTTGGAACCCTACAACCCAATGGTCTCAATGTGGACTTTATGAGCTTCAAAATCTCCCCACCTCTGACCTCATCCTAAGACCAGCCCTCCCTCTCGTCCCCGGCTCCTTGACCTGTCCGTCTTCTCTCCCATCTATCCGCTCCTCCCACCTCACTGACCAACCCTCATCCCCACTTCCTACCTACACTCTCCTTTACTAGCTTCATCCCCGCATCCTTGGCCTGTCTGTCTTCTCTCCCACCTGTCTGCTCCACTATCCACCTTCTATCACCACCTCCCCTTCTCTCTATTTATTTCAGAGACCCCTTCCCCTCCCCCATTTCTGAGAAGGGTCCAGACCCGAAATGTCAGCTTTCCTGCTCCTCTCATGCTGCCTGGCCTGCTGTGTTCATCCAGTTTCACACCTTGTTATCTCAGACGCCAGCATCGGCAGTTCCTACTATCTCTTCTTTCCCTTACTGTTTTTTATCTCCCCAAATGGACTCTAAGCGTGGATCATCTCTCACAGCTGTCTTTATTTCATTTCTTATTATCAGTGCTACCCCACCTTTTCCATCTATCCTGTCTTTCTGATTGATCAAATATCCTTGAATGTTAACTTTCCAGTTTTGACTTCCTTGTAACTATGTTTCCCTAATGGCTATGCGGTCATATTTATTTACCTCACTTAGCACCATCAGTTTGTGTACCTTATTCCAAATGCCAAATGTATTAAGATACAATGCCTTTAAATTTGTTCTATAATCAAATTTTCCTGTGTTTTTATGTTTCCTTGGAGCAAAATGACATTCACACATTCTGCCCCTTTGATTTTCATTAAGTCTTTATCTTTACCTTGGGCTTGTAGCAAATTGGTATAGGTAGATACATGGAACATTTATCTGGGTATGGCAGTGGGGATGTGGGGTCAGGATTATAGTCACATTCCCTGCCCTGAACTGAATAATATCCAGCTTCATCTTCAACCAATCCCCAATCAGAACTATTCCTTTCATCCCCTAATCTCCGTACAGGTCCCAAAACACAGAGTAACCCTCTCTGGCTGAAAAGCTGTGACTTCAAGGCATCAATTTCCTTTTGGTATTTAGAATGATCAGCATTCTGCACTTGTTGCTCATCCTCTGCTTGGTATGATACTTTAACTGATGTCTGGAGATCCTTACATTTACTTTCCCATTCCTAAGTGTTAATATCTGACTCTTCAAACTACTTCTGTGCCTTTCCAGCATTTCTGTTTACTGTCTCAAATTGACTTTGATCGTTTGAAAAAAAGGGTAGAATGTTGGCTCAGCATTGCTGTCTCACAGTACTAGGGACCTGGGTTCGATTCCACTCACAGGCGACTGTCTGTTTGCACATTCTCCCGTGTCTGCTTGGATTTCCTTTGGGTGCTCCAGTTTCCTCCTACAGTCCAAAGATGTGCAGGTTAGGTGGATTGGCCATGCTAAATTGCCCATAGTGTCCAGGGATGTTTTCGGTTATGAGGGTTGACCAAGGGAAATGCAGGGTTATAGGGATAGTGTGGGGGAGTGAGTTTGAGTGGGATGTGTCGTGTCAACTTGTTGGGCCAAATGGCCTGTTTCCATACTGTAGGGATTCTAAGGATTTGAGAGGTAAACTATCTTCTTCTGATTGGCAGTCTCTAGGGATTTAACCTTTCCCTTTAACTGTGTGTTTTCTGACTAGAAAACAGCTGTTTCCTAACTGACCACCTCTAGGGTATTAAGTCTCTATTTTAGTTCTGCATTTTCTGACTTCAATTCACTTATCTTAGCATTTCTCTGCTTTAACATATACTTTCATGTACCAAGATTCTGCAAAAAGACAAAAAATTCCCATCAGCCCACCTTCTTTACGTATGCACTTTCCCACAGACTTCCTAACTGACTTTAACAAATGATCCAGTGCCCCAGGACTAGTAACATCACAAGATTGCCAAGACTCTATCCATTTCTTCAATTTCTTATTCAACTATTCCGTTACTCAGTTCTCCCGTTCAGATTGATTGTCTGCCATGTTTTCAAGCTAAGTTCCAAGGCCAAATTCAATGGAAAGAAAAATGTAAATGCTCCAATTAAATCTGAAAATTTATTACCTCTATCCTCATCAACCCACTTGAATTCCTGGCAGTCATGTGGGGCAGTTGCCTTCTTAATTTAGGCTCAAGCAGGATTTCTAAGAACAAAAGGCTGGTAAGTTTGACTTTGGAGCAATTTAAAGTCACTTTAAAGCTCAACCAGAGACATCAATTGTTGCGGGTAAATCAACACAAGTTAGCTCTAATTTTGAATCAGAGATAGTAGGAACTGC